AGCGCCGCACTGTCGGAGGGTCAGCGCTGAGGGAGCGCCGCACTGTCAGAAGTGCTGTGTTTTAGATGCTAAAACAACTGTGCCCCTCAGAAGAATGCCCTGAACAGTATTTATCTGATTAATGCGGCCGTTATCACATTCTGAGACTTGAAATACCTAATTGATCACAATTGTTCCCTGTAATTCTGAGATGGGATGAACAGATTTGACACAGCTTTGAAGTTTTAAATTACTCAATCTAACTTAATCAGACTGAGAATATTGACCCTCACAACAAAATGCAACACACATTGCCCAGACCCCCACTGCCATGACAACTCTATTAGAGATGCTTATTGGCCGGCCTGCTGCCTAAAGCAATTGTTCTGGTTGGTCGGGTGGAACACCATTTTACAGAGCAGTAACCAGGAGAAAATTCACACAGAATAATCAAAAAAACATTGTGGCTCACTGTTTTCCATCTTAACAGTGGCCTGATTAAATGATGTGATCAGTGATGGCATTTGTTCCTCACTGACCAACGGACAATACAATCGGTCACACCTGGATTCACAATAAACCCCGCACACACACGTTTACCCCCGTGTTACCTACTGACAAGTAACTGTATAATGAACAGAAATGTGTGTGTTAATAAAAACCACTTTAGCATTGCACTGGAGAGCAGCCAGTGATTAATAAGCAATGGTATAAAGTCTTGTTCATCAAAGGGTTAAGGTGCACTCTCCATTCCAGCATCTTCACTGTGTTCCTCTTGCAAAAAGTGTTCCCGTTGTTCATCACACTGTGCCCTCTCTGTGTGTTTGTTGGGGTCAATAGTAGTCAGTGTGTAGTCTCAATGTTGGCTTTCTCAGATGGACTAATCAAATCAGCTGGATTAATAACTGTTTGTGTCTCCACAGCTCTTGGATCACCTGGGAAATTTGGAAAAATCCCTCCAATGATGGACTCTGGTTCAGATACAAGACACTCCATCAGTGGTAGTTATTTCCAGTGTTTCAATTTCTTTCATTGTGTTATTAACAAATGTTCAGAAGTGGCATAAAATCAAATATAACCTCCTCCTCCTGACTTCTACCTTTACTACTACACCCCCATGACCTCATCCTCTACCCACAGGACCCTGTGAACCCTCATTGACCCCTGCATTTACTAACATGACACAACAATCTCACCCTCTACCTCCACAATCTCCAGTGACCCCTCATACCTCATGTCTCCCACTGATCTCTCACCTACCCACATGATTTTCAGTGACCCATCCTTCGATCCCCTTGACTCCCTGTGACTCCTTCGCCCTACCCACATGATCTGTGACCCCTCTTGACTCCTTGACACATGCAAACACCCTGTCCTCACACACGTGGGTGTGGTCCCCTGGTGGAAACGAGCCCCTCAGTGTATGTTCCACAGAGAACAACATTCTGGTTCTGTTCTTGGTTTTGGCTATAAGCGATCAGAACCATTACAATTTTTGTCTGTGCATCCATCATCTCAGGGCATCAAGCCTTGCTGGGACTGACAGCCTTGACCACAAAGGCCTAGGGAGACCCTGACAGTGAATCCCTTGTTTTTCTAAGGCCCTGGGATTGACCCTACCCCCATTGACTTGTGCCATTTTATTCTCTTGTTTTGGTGAATTGGAATTGGTGATTTGTCCACAGGTCACAACAGTCCCCATGGCAGCCCTACCTCGAGCCTGGACAGCAACACGATGCTGATTATCATCATCTCGGCAGGAGTCTTCACAATCATCATCGTGGTCATCATTGCGTTGATCTGCACTCGAAGGACTAACTACCAGCAGAAAAAGTGAGGAGAATTTATTTGATAGACTCAATGTTGGGGTTTGGACAGTGAATTTTCCGCTTTATAACTGGATTCAAATCAAATCCGAACCAAGCTTTTTCTACACTGTCTCGATCCATAATTGAACAGATAAGTGGTGACACAAAACTGTCCTTACTTTGACATTGACAGCAAGCTTACTAAATCAGGAGAACAGTTGCAACAGCAAAGATTATCACATCACAGCAGAAAAGTAAATGGTTCTTTGTTTGAATTGAGTTGAAACAATTAATTGGACAGTGTAGAGGGCGCTTTACACTGTATTTAACATGTGCTGCACCTATCCTGGGAGTGTTTGATGGGGATAGTGTCTGGGAAGCTTTACTCTGTAACCTGTGACAATACTATGGCTTTAAAAGGTTTGTATTTTGTCCTTTTTTTAATGAAGAGAGTTTAAGACAGTGGTACTGAGTGGTTTGCTTAAGCCAATAAAGTAAACAGCTTGTGAGGCCTTGGATTTTTTTTTAATTGGAACAATAGAAGCAGCCTGAATGGGTGGGGTCAAGTTCCTACAGAACCAGGATTTTTCGTTTAAGTTTTCAATGGCAGTTGCTAGAGTCTTGAAGCTGGATGTGCAAAGCTAATTTTCCTCTTAATTGTTACAGCTAAAAGTTGGGTTTCTCATAGTGATGCTAGAATTGCTTGTGAGAGTTTTTTTTTACTGACTTTACCTTTGCCAGTGTGTGTTTATGAGATTTTACAACATTGAAACAGTTCCTGTTTAGTAGTTAAATAATCTATTATTCTGTTAAGTTTTCCAATACAGAAGTTATTCTAATTCTTTCTTTTGTTGTATTTTAACCATAGTCTTTAAATAAAGCTTCAAGGCTGGTAGTTTGACCAATCAAATTGCATCTGGAACACAATGTCTGGCACTTTAAAATAAGAAAAAAGTTAGGGTCCAGGATATCTTCATATATTTTGAGGGGATTTGGTCTGGTCTACAAAAATATATGTGCTGTCCTTGTCCTGGGAGTGTAACATGAGGACAATATAGAGGGAGTTTTACTGTGTCTAACCCCATGCTGTACCTATCCTTAGAGTGTTTACTGTGGACAATGTAGAAGGAGCTTTAGTCTGTATTTCATGTTGCTACTTGGTGCCTCTCCAGTGTGAATATCCCTTTACTTTGGACATGCAGTAACAACGTTAAAAGAAATTGAATGTACAAAATCTTCAACTTGCTCCTTCTTCTCAAGGCCTGTCCCATTTGGTGTTTCTTCATGTAGGAAGCGTGCAGCCTGTAAATCTGCTAACGGGTCTCACAAGTACAAAGGGAATTCGAAGGATGTCAAACCCCCAGATCTCTGGATTCATCACGAGCGCCTGGAGCTGAAACCAATTGACAAGTCTCCAGATCCCAATCCAGTCATGACTGACACCCCCATTCCCCGTAATTCCCAGGACATTACTCCAGTGGAGAATTCCATGGACAAAGACCATCAACGCAGGAATTCCTACTTGGGTGAGTGAATTCTGGATGAATTGAGGAGAAGCAGTTGACTGCTGTCAGGTTTTATAACATGACTTCCAGGGGTTTGCATCTGTCGGTATCAACATCATTTTCAGATGAAAATAAGCTCAATAATTCCAACCATGTAACACTACCCACAATCAATGAGATTTTGTACAAATAAACAAAAAGAAAAGGTTAACGATGATCACATACTTGCTATGCGACATGATGTTGTAAGATATTTTGTTGCTCCTTCCACAATGGTGATAGTCAGTGGGGAATGTTGCAGGATGAACTGGAAAATGGCTTCCCAATCCGTAATGCAGTTAAACCCCATGAAAATAAGAGCAGGGAATGGTAAAAATACTCCATGCCCTCCCCCTTAACCATCTTCAGCTGCTTCATCCATGATCTTCCCTCCATGATAAGTGGACCCATACCCCTCAGACTGCAGTGGGTTCAAGAGGCAGCTTGCACTACCTCCAGGGTATTAAGGGATGGTCAATAAATCCAGCCCAGCCAGCGATGCCCACATCCCCTCACTGAGTAGGAAAAATAAAATTCATGTTATGAATTGATCCTTTTCATCAGAACAGTACTGATATTTTCTGTTTCAGTTTCCCACATCTCCTCACTTCCTGCAATTGTTTGTAAGTGGCCAGGAATGAATGTACAAAGAGAGCTCCAATCAATGACCGGAAATAGCACTGAGTGGAAGTTAAAAGATTGTAACTAAATAAGTCAAGGAGAGAAAGAAATTGGAGGATGCTGATTGGCTGAATTTCTTCAGTCGAGGTTGGGGAGGGGTAGGTAGTGAACAGGAATTGCCAAGGGAGCGGTGAGAATCTCAACTCGTTTTGATTGTCCAATGTTGGACTGAGGTTATGGGCATTGAGAGGAAGTTCCTTGGTTTATGCTTCTTATGTTGACCTAGGTCTTATCCATCTTTTTATGACTCCTGTAAGGGGATGGCATGGTTTTTGGATGTGAGGGAGTGAACGTAGGACCAGATAGTCCTGTCTATCATTGCTCGTACAGACTAATGACTGGTGTGTGGTTGTAAGTGATGCTGCAGCAACCGGTGATGGTTCTGGGCTGTTTGTGTTTGCAGGCCGTGAACTTGAAGATGGCATGTCTACACTGAGTGGGCGA